AATCATCTACATAAAGTTCAGTGAGTTCACACTGTTGTCATTATTTAAGCCTTAGAAGCCCAAAGGAGTAAAGTGTCACCAAGAAACACCAGGCAGAGCAGCAGCTGGCAAAGTCAGCGTGGGGGGCCATTGTCTCCCCTGCCTGCACACAGGGCAGCCTCCCCCCGGGCCCCATGGCCCCTTAGGGCTCCTCTGTATCCTTGGCACCTCGCACGTCAATGTTTGGTGAACCAATGAATGGATGAGTGAATATCCTCACCTCTGTGGGCTTCTCCACCACCACACTCCTGCTCACTCACCAGAGGGGTTCAGGAATCCAGGACGCCCCGGGGACCAGGGCCCATTTAATGCCAATTCTGCCGCTGTGCAGGACACGGTGTTTTTGGGGCATCTGGAGAAACTTCCCTGGGGATGCCAGTTGTGCGGGGAAGGTGGGAAGGTGGGAAGGTGGGTGGGAAGGACAGGTGGGACCTCAGCTGGTCCCTGAGCCAACAGCGACTCTCCCCTACCCCTCTGTGGGGCAGCTAAGTCATCACGTGGTGCCAGCCTTGGGCCCCTGCCCAGCCACACTCCTTGGGGCTGACCTGTCACACTCCCTGTGGATGCTAAGGCCTGGAGTCTGGAAGGCCAAAGAGGGCAGCAAAGCAGTGTTCTCACCATCAGCCCACTGATAGCTGCACTCTCCTGGGCGGAGGAGGACAGAGGTGGTCATATCCCGTTGCACAGAGGGGTGATGAACTTGCCCTAAGGCCATGCCTGCCAGTCGGAAGCTGGGCCCTCTGCGGGCTCCAGGGAAGGCCGTGCCCAGCGCTGCCTCTGCCCGGGGTTGCCCTGCCCTGCTGCCTTTCTGCTGTCCATTTCACCTTCAAATTCCACCTCTGGAAGCTCTCCCTCCCTCACCATCCGCTGATCGCAGTTTAATGAGTGTCCCTTGCCACAAGACTGAAATTCCTGGAGACAAGGGTGGGTTTTCCTTGCCCTCTGTCTTCTGCAGGGCCTAGCACCCAGCAGGGGCTCCAGACATGCCTTCACGATGCACCGCGGGCCAGATGGCTCCGGAGCTCAGGGGGAAGGGGTCTCCTCTCACCTCTGCCCTGCGCCCACCAGCAATCCCAGATTGTCAGAGCTGGAAGGGCCCCTAACAAGAATGCCTTTCTGAGAGTCATAGGGGAGCAGGAACTTTCCTAAAGTCCGCAACCCCGCAGTCAGAAATCAGAGGGCAGCCACCTGTGCCCTGCCACCCCACAGAAACCCTGGGGGGCCATTTCTGCTCTGCCTCTCCTTTCTTTCTTCTTCTCCCCAATTCCAACAGCCCACCTCCGTTTAGAATTTGGCACAATAAAGGCACAGCCTTTATTCCAGTCCTTACCCCAACCCAACTGGAAGCTCCTAGCCTGCTGCCTTTGCCCAGACATGGCAGAGGGGCACTGGCAGCTTGTAGAGGGAGTTGATTTTCCCTTTGGCAGTGGGGAAGATGGGGGGAGGGGAGAGGCTTGCCCCCTACCCCAACCCGTGAGGGGGGAGGGTAGGGACGCAGGTCCAGACAAGAGGCAGAGGGAGAAGACACGTTCCCCAGCCTGTGGGGTCTCAGCACCAAACCCTGCGGCTGTGTAAGGCCAGTTGTCTCTGCACCTCCCTGGCCATTTCAGAGCTGCAGCCCTGGGTTCCTGCAAACTAATGCCTGCTAGGCTGGAGAGGTGAACGTGTGCTGGGGGAGAGGGGGCAGGCAGAGGCGGCACTGCAAGCTTCCCTCCTCCCGTGCAGAGTCTCTTCCTCTTCCTCCTCCGCTCCAGCCTCCTCCCCTCCTTCCCACTCCCACCCATCTATTTGCCTCTGTGTCTCCGCTTTCCTGCCCCATCCCTTCTTTTCTCCCCCCTCTTCCCCAAGCACCCCCTCTTAAGCTCCCCTTCCCTCTCTCCCCTCTCTCCCCGGCCCCCTCCTGCCCTCCCCAGCTGGGGCTGCTTTCTCCCTGACTCAGCAAGGTGCTTTATAAGGTGCTGAGGGGCTCAGCCAAATCCAAGCCGCATTGTCTCCTGCAGACACTCTCCCCGCTGCAAACCAGGGCAGGACAAGCTGCTCCCTGTGCCCTCCCCTCGCCTTCATGGCTGCTGCCTCTGAAAGGGTGGCTGCTAGGAGACCTCCTGGCCGGCCTCAGTGCCAGTCACCCACCTGGGCATCTGCCTTCTTGACCTTGGCACACGCATCAAAAGATCTAGGGCTCACCCACCAAGAACGTCATTGGAACTCCAGAGTTCTGCCTGGGGGATGGTGGTGAAGGGGAAGAGGTAGGCCCCAAGCACTTCTCAGAAGGACCCCACCCCACCCCATCCATGCAGGTTTCATCAGCAATGCAACTGATGTCCCGGAAAATCCCCTGCCCCCAACACCAAGCCAGCTCCCCTTTTCCAGCTCTTTTTCTCCTTGTTTAGGAAAAAAAAGAAAGAAAGAAAAGAAGAAAGAAGGAAGGAAGAGAAGAAAAAAAACCCCAACAACAAAGTCTGTCCCACTCCAGTGAGGTAATTGAAAACAAACTTCTCCCCCCAGCCCCCCACCTCAGTTCTTGCAGTGCGGAAAAGGCTAGGGCTGCCCTGGGAACTGAGCACGGTCAGGACCATGATGCCTGCTCTGACCCACAGGCTAGAGGGGCTGTGGCAGGACTGGCAGGGTGCCCTCCTTTCTCTGGGGACACCGGGGTGGGAGTGGGGAGCGCAGGCTCTGATGCTATTCCGGAGAGAGGAATCACCTTCCAGGTCTGGTCCACCACAGCCTCTCCCCTTTTGAAACAACTAATAAACAACAAAAGCAACTTATCACCAAATTATTTAATTGGTGGTCTGGTTCTAGAGCTTGAGTGCTTGGAGACCCAAAGACTGTCCCCAAGGAAAAGTCACAAAATGGGGATGTCTATGTGCCCCAGCTGAGAGCTGTTTCCTCGGCACGCTCCCTGGCAGCCCTCTGCGGAGGGAGGAAGGGGGAGGCAGGGAGACCCTCCAGGGAGGGTCTAGGCTTATAGATCCCCTAGGTACCCAGCCCAGCAAGTCCCAACCCAGGCCGGAGGGGAGGAAGGAGGGCACTCCACCGCCGAACCAACCCTATCCCACCACCGGGAGGAACCGACAACCCAAACCCCCAGGGCGGCAGAAAGCCAAATGCCTTTATGGGGAAGCATTTCACAAATAGGGACTCTAGGTCTGTCCATCGCCTTGAATTGGCACAGTTCACCATATGGGCTGAGTCACCCATAAAGCCTCTGGTGTCGAAACTAGTCCCGTGCTGATTAAAGAATTAGAACCCCCCACCCGTGTGCACTCTACCCACCACTGGGAAGAATGAAGCACCTTGTGAACCTGAGGGAAAAACCCTCAGCCAAGTGCCCTGGTCTTTCCTCAGAGCAGGGCAGAGGGCCTGTGGTGCCCTCTTCCTCCCGTTCAAGGGGCATTGTACGCCGGTTAGTCACCTGCCCCGGCCCAGGCGCCTCACTCAGCCCCAGCTTTTGGAAATGGGACAAGCGGCGGGACAATAGGCAAGGGGGGGGGCGGTCAGCCCAGACAAAGGGCAGCAGGAAAAACACCATCACTTGCTTCGAGGCCAGCTCGCTGGCATTTGGGGGAATGTGTCACTGCGTTTACTCAGGGGGCGGGGGCGGGGCGGGGGCGGGGGGGGTTAGAGACGGGAGGCAGAGGTAGGGCGAGGGCAGGGACCCCGCACCGTGCCGGCGGCAGGCGCCCCTGGCCGACGCCGAGGGAGAGGAGAAGCAGCGGGCGGCTCACCCCTCCAGCTCTCGGAGTTTGCAGGGGGACCGATGCCCTCCCGCCCCCGCCCCCGCCCCCGGGAGGCCGGGTGGTACCGCCGCAGCCTCGCCTCACCTCACCCCCCCCCCGGTGCTGTGGGAGGGAGAGGAGCCCCAGAAGCCCTCCCTTCCCCCTCCCCTCCTCCCCCCACCCCGGGGAGGGCCGCTACAATTTGTGGTTACAGCTTTACACGTCAGAAAAAAAAAAGTTTGTAGAATGTCCCACACCGAAAAAAAAAAAAATCCGAAACCGAGCGAAAAAAACCTGCGAGTGGGCCTGGCGGATGGGATTATTAAAGCTTCGTCGGAGCCGCGGCTCGCCCTCCCACTCCGCCAACCTCCGGGAGAGGAGCCGCGCCCGGCCGGCCGGCCCCCAGCCCCATGGACCTCCGAGCAGGTAGGAGCCCGGCGTCCGCGGCCCCGGCCCCCGCCCCCGCCCGGGAGCGCGAGATCCGGTTCCCGTCTCCCCCGGGGAGCCCCGAGCGGAGGCCGGGCTGGGGAGCCGGCGGTTGCCCCCGCCAGCAGGGCTCAAGCCGGGGAGGCACGGCCGGGCGCCCTCGAGAGGGGCCGGGCGGGGACGCGGCGTTCCTGGGCTCCGCTCGCGGGGCCGGGGAGGTGGCCGGGGGCGCGGCGGGGAGTCCCGGCGCCCCGCAGACCCGGGGAGGCGGCAGCCTGGAGCCCCAGCGCGGCGGGGTCCCGGGGGTCCCCAAGGACGGGGTCCCGCGAAGTCGGGAGAGCTGGTCCGAGGCGGGGAGAGGGGCTGCGGGAGGGGACGCGGCGCGCGGGGGGCAGGGGGCCGGGAGAGGAAGAGGGGGGAGGCCGGCGGGGGGCCCGGGGCCGGGCCGCCGGGAGGCGAGGGGAGGCCGACACCTCGGGGAGGGAGAGCGGGAAGGGGGAGGGCGGGGGGCAGAGAGGGCCGGGCCGGCCCTGGGGCGCCGCGCGGCCGGAGCCCACCATGCTGCCCGCGGCCGCGGAGCCGGCGGCAGGTAGGGGCCGGGCGACCGGGCGGGCGGCCGCGGCCGCGAGTCCCCCGGCGCGGCCCGCCGTGGCCTGGGAGTGATTAGTGCGGGGGGCGGGCGCAGCCCGACCGGACCGGGCAGGAAAAGTCCGTCCCCGGCCCGGGCGCGGTGGCAGCGGCCGCTCGGCCCCGGCAGCCCGCGAGCGGGCGGGCAGGGCAGGGAGTTGACGCGCGGGAAAGGGCAGCGGCCCGGCCGAGCTCGGAGCCCGGGAAGGGAGCGACCGGGCGGGAGCGGGCCGGGGGCGGGGCCGGGGGCGCCGGGGCCACACAGGGGGAAGGCGCCGCAGGGAGGGGGTCGGGAGCGACAGGTCGCCGCAGAGTGGGGAGGGCCAGCCGGCGGCCGTCGCCGCACAGTCCTCGGGCCCAACCCCTCGGGGTACACCCCAAGTCCCCCGGGCCCCGCCAAGTCCCCTCAGCTCTGTCCCACCTTCCTTCACAGCTACTCCACACCGCGCGCCAGAAGCCCTCCCCACAGACCCCCAATCCCCGTGGAGCCCTTCCCGGTTTCCTCCTGCGCCTGGCCTGCCCTTCCCGTTTAGGGTGGAGTGGGCTGCCAGGAGGGGAGGGGAGGCCAGAGGTCCCGCATGGCAGGAGCAGGCCCAGCCTCCGAGCCAGACTGGGGTGGAAGCACTGGACACATTCCCCTGTCAGGCTCTCTCTTATCCTGACCCAGATGGGCTGACATCTCTGTGCTTTCATGGCCCCCAAAAGCCCCCTTCCTGCCCTGGATCACACACAGGGACACGTTCCCCGACAGACCAGACCCACTTTCCAAGGCTCAGACACCCTTGCCGCCCTGGAGCCACACACTCAACCAGGGGAGGAAACAGGCGCCAGACAGAGATGGCAGCAGCTGTGTCATGGCTCCCTCGCCCACCGCACAAAGAGCCCTGCACTCCTGTCCGGTCACACTTCTGCACACCAGCCCCTCACCCCAGCTACTCTGTTAGTGACACTTCACATTCCTCCCACAATCCCACCTGCCTGTTCACACCCTGGCTCCTGCAGGCACCTTTCTTGCTCCTCCCATACCTTCTGGGTAACAACACCCTTTCAAACTCTCCCACATACTTGTCCTGACTCCTTCACTGCAGCCCCCTGCCTGGCTCTCAGCAGACTGCCCAGCGCCCTGGCTTCACAGTCCAGAGTCCAGAACCCTCTCACTCCAGCAAAAGCCCGACACCTGTGATTCTACTGACTTCCCAAGGCAGGGCAGCTCGCCCACCTGTCTGTTTCTTTCCCTGGGCCTTGGTTTCTTCTGGAAGAGAAGGGCAGGGAGGGGGCTGCAAAAGAGACCCAGATGGGCCGGAGTGGAGATGGAGCCCCACAGGGTTGTGCAGAGGGTTGTGCAGAGGGACGTTAGTGGGAACAGTGAGCCCCTCACGTGAGCCCAGGCACCTGGTCGTTGGCAAAGCTAGGACTCCTGACTTCTGGGTCTACGTGTACCCACTCACTAATCACTTCTTAGCAGCCTGGGGAAGAGGGAACTAAAGAGAGAACGGAAGGGAGAGAGGAAGAGGGGGGAGGGCAGCCAGCCCAGAGGACAAGAAAAAAGGGCTGTTTCTTGTGGACCCTTCCCTGGGAAGGCAGGTCCCTGAGAGCTGTTTCCTACACTCTAAATACCAGGATCTCTCACCACAGTGGAGGCAGCACCCCCAAAATTGCTTCCCTCCCCCAGTTCCCCTCAACAGACCCTACAACAGTCACCAGGATGCTGGTCCTGGTCTAGCCTGAGGGCCGGGCCTTTGCTTCTGGTGCCTGATCAGCTCAACACCTGCGGAGCTCTGGGACGCCCCCTGATGGCCCTGACAACCACGTCTTCCGCTGATTGTCTCTTAGCCACCAAGCCCCTGTGCAGTCTCCTGGCTGACTCATCCTGACCACCCTGACCACCCTGACACTTCTGCACCTCTGAGTCCCCCACTCACTGAGTGAGGTCGGCCTGGGGATACAGGCCAGGACTGAGGGGCAGCTGGTGGAAGATACGTGAACGTGGGTATGCCTGCCTGTGCAGCCGTGTCAGGGTGGCCATGCTTGTGCTTGGGATGAATATGTGTGTGTGTGTGTTCATGAGGGGGCCTCGGTTCCCAGGGCCCAGGGATCTGGATGGAATTAGAGGCTGGCCGGGCGGGGGCCAGTATGGGGGTGGGGGTGGGGGTGCAGCAGGAAACGTGAGCTGCACTCATTAGCTCCTCACGTGCTCAGCCGGATTTATAAACACAGGGGAAGACGGGATGTAAACAATCAGTGGGCAGCAGCCAGAGGCAGAGCTGGGGCGGGGGCTGGGCTGGGGGCCAGGGCTGGGGGAGGGGGCCCGGGGCAGCCCCCAGTGGCGGGGTCCACCTGCACACCAGAACCTGGAGAGATGGACAGATGAGGGCTCCAGGATGCCCTCTGCACTCTCCCTCCTAGCGACACAAGCCAGCCGCAAGCTGCGCTGGGTTCCAGTGCTTACACCTGAACCACAGGTGTCTCTGCCCGAGATGCTGTCAGTTTTGCTGCCTGAGATATGGGGACATCTTGCCCAGAGTGGAAGCTCTCCTAATAGAGGGTAGGGCCCTGTCCCCTTTCTCCTCTCCTAGCCTCTTCTTCTGGATTTCTGAGACTTCTTCCCTCTTTCTAGTTCTCTCCATGGGTCAGTCCTTCAGATCCTCTGCTCTCTCCCCTGCACCCCCCACCCCAACTTGCAGTGACACAGTTACCTCAGAACTGAAATATTCCTGGAAACACTGGCCTGGTCTGGTTAATTTCATGAGCCGTTTTTCTGCCCAGATGACTTAGCTCTGTTTATGCAAAGGCTTCTCCCCCGCTGTCCCTGTGTAGGGAGCCAGTCCTCCCCAGGGACTTCCCGCAGGACTCAAAAGGGGAGGGAAAAACAAGGCCCAGAGCTGGGTTCCTGACCACCCCCCCAGTCCCCTAGCTGTGGGGGAAGTAGAGCCCAGTCCCACAAGTCTGGCTAGCAGGGCTGCCCAAAGCTGGGTGGGGTAAAGAGCAGAGCCCAGCTCCCGGTTCTGCTTCACCCGGGATCCTCAACATTGCCACTAACTGTGCGCTGGCCAGACAGAAAGCTACGTCAAGACCCACCTCAGCAGGTCTTCACGCTCCAAAACTAACCCCACCCTGTACCCGTAGGGTCCTGGAGGTGACTCAGCTGGATATCCAGGTTGAGGGCAGCCCAGGATTTTGTGCAGAAGAGAAGGACCTTGAATTATCTTGGGATGTAAAGAACAGTGAACAGAAAGTAACTCAGAGTAAGCAAGAGCTAGCGATGTGAAGGAACCTTCAGGAGGGGAGCCACCTGCTGCTGCTGGGGAAGAGGAAAAGGGGAGTCTGTCTCCCCAGGGAACAGTATTGGGCGTGACCCTGTTCTCTGTCCTAACACACACACACACACACACACACCTGCAAGAGCCCTTTACCCACAAAGGCAGGGTCTCTGGGACTAGTGGCACCCCTACGCCCACACTCATCTGTAAAGCCAACCAAGCACTGAAAGAGTGAAGGCTGATGAATCGGGTCACTGCAGAAGTCCCCACCCGACCCCTCTGCTCTCCATGAGACATTCTGTGCAATTTGAATCCTCGACCCTTTGCTAATTTGTAACCCTTTCTAAAACCCTGACCCAGCATTATGACTAACTCTAAAGTTAACCTGCTAACTCTTTAACTCTAAGCCTACGCTAACTCTACAGCCAAATTGTTAAACCCACATCCAATATATTTCTATCAAAGCAACATATGTCATTGTACACAATTTGAAAGTATAAAATAAACTACTCATGATCTCACACCTACCCAAGCTTAAAATCCAAACGAGCCCTACTCTTCTTAGTGACATCAACCTATCTGACAACTAAATCAACAAAACTCACAAACCTTAGCCCTGGCCAACCCTCTACCTGCCCAAACCTAATCACATCCCCAAGATAGACCCAGACCTTAACCATACTCAATCAGCCAAATTCCAATAAACTAACCTGAAATTTTAACCCAGTCTTCACACCTAACCTAGCCCAATGTCAACTACAGCCTAACCCTAATTGCCTTTACCCAGTCCCATACCCACTGAATCCTGGCCTACTGCCCTTGACCAGGCACCTCACCCAAAAGTCAGGAAAATCGTATTTCCCAATTGCCTAGGTCTGTCTTCAGAGCGCTGACCGTGGCCTCTGGCATCCCTAGATGCCCATGCCCCCCAGCACCCTCAGCTGATACGTTCGACTCATCAAGTCCCTCGTATTCCCTCCCTGTCTCTCCCTCCTCTTCTCTCTCTTCCTCCCTCCCTGTTTGTTTTCTCCTCTCCCTCCTTCTCTCCCACCCTCTCTCCATCCCTCCCTTTCCCTTTTTCTCTCCCTTCCTCTCTCCCTCTTCTCCCCAATCTCCCTCCCTTCTCTCTCTCTTCATTGCAAGCTAATCCAAAGCCTTGTTCAGGTCAAACTTCTCCCCATCTGACACCCTAGATAAGCACAGGATAGACCTCCAAATTGTAGCCAGTCCCTGAGCAAGCATTAAATCTCTGATCTAACCCCATCCTATGCGTTACACATCCAGGAATCACAGAATATACCCACCACTGACCACTAGCCCAAGGTTCTTCTGCCTGACTGGTGTTCTTACCCTACACCTTGCCTCCTGGGGCTCCAACTTGCTGGCATTGGGGCAGCCCCTCTCCTGAGCCCCTCCGAGGGCTGATTTCTTTCAGCTGGCAGCTCTGACATGTCCTGTTTCCCACCCCTTGGCTTCCCCAAGCTGCAGGGGACTTGGAGATTGGGAGAGGAAGCTGAGAAACAACTGGAGCCCCAGAATACCGAGTCACAGTCACTAGGCCTGGCCCTGGCCCTCCATGTACACACACTCACGTGTTGGCACACATACAGTGACCCTTCCTTAGCTGACACACAGATATCCTCCCCGACAGCTTCCAGTAGACACACACACAACAGGCCAAGTCCTCATCCTCAAACACATACACAACTGCCTACGCACACACGCATGCATGTACACACACACTTGGATCAGGAAAGCTCCCCTTCTTCCCACCTGCCTCCCATCTAGTGACCCGCCTTCACCCGCCCTCCCAGCCCAAGGTGGGGACAGACACCTGAGGAGCTGCCAGCTGCAGCCTGCACTGGGCCTGGCTGGCCCTCACGCTTCTTGCCCATCCTGTCTGCAGGGGACTCGTGGGGGATGCTAGCGTGCCTGTGCACTGTGCTCTGGCACCTCCCTGCAGTGCCAGCCCTCAACCGCACAGGGGACCCAGGGCCTGGCCCCTCCATCCAGAAAACCTATGACCTCACCCGCTACCTGGAACACCAACTCCGCAGCTTGGCTGGGACCTACGTGAGTATCCAGGGTGTTTATGGGTCTGGGAGTTGGGCAAAGAATGTTTAGTGGGGGGTAGAGAATCAGAAGGGTGGAGGGGTCTTGGTGAATGATGGGGTGATGAGGAGGGGCCCTTTGGCTCCAAGCAGTCTCCCTGTCTGGCCTATCCCCTGCCCTTCCCTCTTAGGTGCTCCCTCTTCCCCATCCCTGGCCCCAGGACTAGGCATGTGGGCAGACCTCGCACCCGCCTTGGCCCACAGCCCCGCTGGCTGCTGGCCCAGCTGCCCGCCTCCCCCTGGGGGCTGGGGAAGTCTCCTCTGTTTACACCGTGTTGTGGTGTCTCTTGCACGGGTGGGGCTGGGTGGGGATGGAGGGGCCCCACCTCCTATGCCTGTGTTCCAGCTCGTCTCTGCCCCAGACCTGGGGCCCTGCTGCTCTGGACCCATGGGCCTCCCTTCTGTCTGCCTCTCCCATGCTAGCTGGGCCTCCTAGGGGGGACTTGGAGGACGGGGGCTGCAGGGAACCCAGGCCAGTAGTGGCAGGGGGCTCAGGGTGTGGCTGGAAGCTCCGCCGGAAGGATGTGGGGGCAGTCGCGAGGTGTTCAGAGAGCCCAAGGAGAGAAGGAAGGAGGGTCGGAGCCGCCGAAGGCCATGGGGAGCTGGCCCCTCTTCCCGTGTTCCTCTTCCACATCCCAGACCCTACTCTGGAGCCAGGGAAAGAAAGGGGAGGAGGGTGGCGGGGGAGCTGGCTGCAGCCCCAGGACACACCGAGGAAATTAGTTTGTCTCTGTGCTTGTCAGCGTGTGAACCGCCCCCTGGGCCCTTGCTGTCCCAGGCCTCGCCCCTCTTCTCCCTGCCCCCCAGGCTGAATGTCTCCCTCAGCCCTCCCCCTGGGCCCCCGGCCTCTCCCCTGAGGGGCGGCAAAGCTCTGTCTTCTTCCCTGGCTCTTCCTGCCCTTCCTCCTGCTCAATTCCAGACTGCCTCAGTTCCTCCTGCAGCCCTTCCTTTGGCTGGGGGGCGGGCGGGCTGGGGAGTACCTTCCATGCCCTGCCCTTCAGCTGGTGGCACCCAGCATGTCAAGAGGCAAACGGAGCTCTGAGGCCCATGGGCCTCGCTGCCTCCTCACTGGCTCCTTCTCTGGTTTCCCTGGCAGAAAACCTTCGCCTGACTCTGCTTCCCCCTCTAGCTACCGACCCTTTTTCTCTCCTGGCTTTCCCTGCCAAATTTCTAGAAGGAGTGGTCTACACCCTCTGCCTCCAGCTCCTCTCCACCCACTCACTCCTTAACCCCCTGCAATCTGGCTTCCAGGCCACTGAACATTTCTCTCTAAGGTCACCAGGCACCTCCCTGCTGCCACTCCCAAGAGCATCCTCTAAGGTGCCTTCTCCTCGCTCTCTGTTTTGCAGCCACGCTGCTGAGCACCGCTGCCTCCTTGAACTCCTTCTTGGCTCTGCGCTCTTCTGGCCCACCTTCTGCCTCCACAGCCTGGCCTCCTGGGCCCTCGAGGCCCCTCTTCTCTCTGCCCTGCCCAGGGTGGGCACTCTCCCAAGGCTTGCTTACACAGCTGGTCAGCACATCCTTCCTCAGCATCTCCAGTATCTCCTGCGTGTTTTACCTTTTCTTCCACCTCTGCATGGGAGAGCTCATCACTCCCATGGCTTCAGCTGTCACCTCCATGCAAATGACATCCGTGGAAAAACTTAGGGGAGGCTGTGAAGAGAGAGGCCTAGTGTGGAGATGGGGCCAGTGTCGGGACACAGGAAGTGGCAGCTTTGGGGGCAGGTATCTCCTGGCTGCAGCAGCGAGCTGGCCGCCGGGCCCTCCTCCTTCCCCATCACCCCTCTCCTTTTCACAGCTGAACTACCTGGGCCCCCCTTTCAATGAGCCTGACTTCAATCCACCTCGGCTGGGGGCAGAGACTCTGCCCAGGGCCACTGTCAACTTGGATGTGTGGCGAAGCCTCAATGACAAACTGCGGCTGACCCAGAACTACGAGGCTTATAGCCACCTTCTGTGCTATTTGCGTGGCCTTAACCGCCAGGCCGCCACAGCCGAGCTGCGCCGCAGCCTGGCCCACTTCTGCACCAGCCTTCAGGGCCTGCTGGGCAGCATTGCAGGTGTCATGGCAGCTCTGGGCTACCCGCTGCCCCAGCCTCTGCCTGGGACTGAGCCCACCTGGGCCCCTGGCCCTGCCCACAGCGACTTCCTCCAGAAGATGGATGACTTCTGGCTACTGAAGGAGCTGCAGACCTGGCTGTGGCGCTCAGCCAAAGACTTCAACCGGCTCAAGAAGAAGATGCAGCCTCGGGCAGCTGCAGTCACCCTGCACCTGAAGGCCCACGGCTTCTGATCTCTAACCCTTACCACCTCTTTTCTCTTCTCCCTCTTTAAACTCTGTTCTGGATCTGGGAAGGAGAAACCTGTATGCCAACACTTGTTGAGCCAGGAGACAGAAGCCATGAGCCTCTGGCTCTTCCTGGACTTGGAGGAGGGTAGGATGCAATAAGGCCCGTCCCCTCCCAGCTTCCCAAAGTCCTGCAGGTCTGAGGAAGAGGTGCAATAGGCCCCATCCCATTTCCACGGGAAGTAATGCTCAAGGGAGCCTGAAGTGGTTCAAGTTGGTGCAGAGGCTTTCACAGCTTCCTGCCTCCTGCCCACTACTTTGCCAGTGCCCACCCAGCCCCTCAAGGGGCACTTACAGGAAGCATGCCTATAGGGTAGGGAGGGAGCCACCACAGCCTGTGCCTTTCTGGGGTGAAGCCCTTTGGCTGTCCTACTCTCCTTAGATGGGTATTGCTCCCCTACCCCCAAATAACGCAATACATCCAATTCAGGAAACAAACATGGTGGCAAGTCCAAACAGGAAGAAATGGGGTTAAAAATGCAAGAGGTAGGGTCTGCCTTGGAGGTTCTACAGAAAGCAGAGGGACAGGGAGAGACTGGACCTAGGGGTCATCAAGACAGACAGTGGCACAGGGTGCTAACCAAAAGGACCAACTTCATATTTTCTTGCTAACATCACAGTGCCTCCTCTCTGCCCTCTTTCCCAGGGTATCTGTGGGTTGCCCAGGCTGGGGAGGGCAACCATAGCCACAGCCACAGGAGTTCCTGAAAGTTTACATTGCAGTAGCATTTCAGGGTGTAGGGGGCAGCTCCCCCAGGCCCTGCCCCCCAGCACCACCCACTCATGACTCTTAAGTTTGTTGTATTAATATTTATTTATTTGGAGATATTATTTATTAGATGATATTTATTGCAGAATTTCTATTCTTATATTAACAAATAAAATGCTTGCCCCAAAACTTCATCTCCTTGCCTGGCCTTGGCCCCCCACCCCTAGTTCTCCCAGCGTTCCCCTCCCAGCTCCCAGGCCTGCTGGTATAGAGGCCGGAAGCCCAAGGGCTAGCTCAGGAGAGCAACGAGCTTAGAGAAGCATCTCTCCCTCTGTCCACTGGGAAGAGGTGCACCCAGAGCCGTGCCTCCTGCCCCTGCCGGGGCCACGCTCCCTAGTTCTCCCAGCCACCTCGCCAGCTGCCTGCCTCCCTTCTTGCAGCCGGCTCCCGGTCTGCCCCACCTCTCTGGATTACCTTAGTGGCCTCATCGGCCTGTCTCCCTGCACAGCTGTCTGCTCCTCTCGTGCTGTTGGTCAGCCCTGGCCATGCAGTCCTCAGCTTTGCCAGGACCCCTACCTGTGCCCAGCCAGTGGAGCCCCCAGCAGCCACCCCCACCTTCCAAGTATGCTTCATCTCCTAGGAAAGGCCATAGACTGCAGCCAAGTCCCAAGTCCCAGCTATGACTATTTTTTTCTGTCCAACAGCAGATTAGGAGGAAGGAGAAAAACTCATACCGGACCACAAGTGAATGGAATAGATGCTATTCAAGGGATGAGGTGACCTCAGATCCCAGTTTCATAACCTACTAGCTGAGTGACCTTGGGAAAATTATTTAAAGCTCTCTATTCTCCAGTTTCCCATAGGTAAGCAATAGGTAAGATGCTTGGCTACAGCAGCATTGATTAGTCATTACAGATTACTTGGGATATATTGACATGTGACACTCAAGTGAAGAGGCACCAGGTAAATTAATGGGCTAACTGCTCCCAGATAATAATACATGGACATTTTTCAAGGGACTCCTAGAGACTGTGCCCTAAGTGGTGGAAGTAACAAATGATGGTGATGTTAAGCAATTGACAAATATTTTGAAGACCTAATTTTCTGCTCATCACAGCGTTAACTGGTTGCAGGAAAGCCAAAAGAAATCCAAGACCTAACTTGACTCCTGCCCTTATGGAGACTGCGATCTATCTGGGAAGAGAAGACCAGCGTACCCAAGTCAATAAGGGACAAAGGGATAACTGCAATACACGCTGGGAGGTCTCGTGTGCACCACTGCAAGAGGGAGGGGCGCCCTGTGGGTGCAGGAGGTACTGGACTTGCCTGTGGGCAGGGTGCCCCGCAGTTAGCTGAAGTCCCTGAGTCACCTGGCCCATGTTGGATCATGCCCAACCTGAGGGGTCCAGGCTCTTCAGGCAGAGGCACCTGCCCAGGCATTGCCAGGGCACCTGCAAACCCTGCCTCCTGCCTAACAGGATAGAAAGGGGAGGGCATCTGGACTGTCTCCATGCAGGGGCAAAATGAGTAGCAGCCTGTAAGGTAAAGCCGCAAGCAAGGGGCTATAGGGAATGCGAGGAGGAGGAAGGTGTAGCCCGCATGACTGTACTGTGAGCTTCTGAGGGGCTGATTCTGAATCTTCCCATCTCTCTGTCCCAGCACCCACAGCAGGCTCAAGCCCAAAAGTGTTCAATTACTATATGAAACAAAACAATCTGGAGAAGGGACTATGACCCTCCCAACCCCACCACAAATGCTAGAATCCAAGGCAGAATTTGGTAAGTGCAGAAAGACCCAGGCAAAATACTCTGATGTCAAAAAAGGAGTGATATCATCTACTTGGGTGAGGGCCCTGCTAGTCTGTGAATCCCATAGGAGGAAACGGTGCCTGAAGTCACTGCTGGATTTCCGAACCCAGCGCAGGGTATGTGCTTTTTCACAAACAGGCAGGTGGGATTAGGAGGATGGGGAGGACAGGGGTCAGTTAAGTGTGTCTGTCTCCCTTTTAAGCGATTTGAAGGCAAGCTCCACAATTTATTCACCTCTGCATCCCTACAGCATTTTAGCACAAGGCCAGGCACAGACTAAAATACTTGATAATTTGATTTAAACTGATTTAAAGAGTGTGAGGGGAGTAGTGTGTTAGAAGTCGAGAAGAGAGTTTTAAGGAGGCCACTGGTCACCCCTGTCAGATGACCCAGGAGAACTGAGAAAATGGAAAATCCACTGGCTTTGGGATCAGGTGAGTGAGCGCAAGAGTGGTTAAAAGGCTGATACCAAACAGTGAGATGAGAGAAGGAGACAGTGGGAGGGAAGCAGAAAGAATGAATGCATTCCCTTAGGAGTTCGGTGGCAAAGGCAATATGGTGGGGGTGTGGCAGGATCATGGAAGGCTTTTTGTTTGTTTGGCTGCTTTGCTTCTGTTCTTTTCAAACAGAAGAGATCTAAGCAGGTCATTGCTGGATGAGGGGCAGCAACTGGAGAAGCATGGAGAGGCTTGGGAATGGAACCAGGGACATGCAGAGGAGAATCAGAAAGGGTGCTGGGCAGCCATGTGGAACCAGATGACATCAGCAAACACATCTCTATTGTGGGCTTACACAGCATGGATCGTGACATTCCTGGCCAGCCAGAGGTGGCCAGAGGTGGGGACAGAGTGAAAAGCGGGCGTTTCCCAAGGCTGAGCAGCCGTGGCAGAGAAACAGGAACAAGAGACTGTAGGGGGCGAGGAACCACGCCGCTGAGGGGCTGTGAGCCTTGCGGAGCATGGAGCCTGCAGGGTGGGCAGCAGGGAGAACAGGGAGGCGAGCAGCCAGGGAAAGGCGAGGCAAGCACCGGAGTTCGCTTCTGCTAAGGATGCAAAGGGTGCACCCTAAGGAGCAAGACTGGGGTTGAGGCGGGCCCAGAGGGGAGCCCAGTCTGAAAGGGCACCTCAGAGTGTGAGTTCTTGAACTCCCTGCAAATAGCTCCCTGCTGATGGCGTCAAGGATGAGCCCCTCCTTTGGGTTTTGGCCCTGTGGGCCCTGGGCGGGTAGCTCCCAGTGAGCGACAGATCCTCAGGCTTTCCTGTGGATGAGTCTGTCATTGGTGCTCCATCCACAGCTGCTTCCGGAGAGGTGGTAAGCTTTTGTTGGTTATCTCAGTACCACCTCTTAAACATGGCCTTACAGTCAGGGGTGCAGGTATGCAGAGGTCAACTGAAGAACCTCGAATAGTTGGGGCCCTGCAGTGTCATGGGGGGAGTATGACCTCTCTCTAGAAGTTCTGTTCCAGGAAGGCTAGGGGGAAGGAGGGAGAGAAGGCCCTCCTCTTTGCCATCTCTAGATAGCACGGGTGGGGGGGACTTGAAATCTCAGTGTCATCTTGGGTGCCTGGAAATGCACCTGTATTTGACAGGATACCCACAACATGAAGAACTGTCACCTGGCGGAAGCAACCTCTGGGGGCCGGGGGTGGATAGGAGAGGGTACAGAAGAGGGTTTGACAGGCGGGTGGCAAAAGTGTGGTCATGCCTTGCTGCTTCCCGCCTTTGCAAAGACTGACCCAAGGGACTTAGGGCTCCCTCGGTGTGTGAGGAGACTCATTCAAACACTCATCATAGAGACATAGTGTGTGCGCACCCCCACCCTCCCAACTCATCACAGCCACTCCAAATGGGGAAGGGCCAAGAAGGCCCTTGTTCCCCTCAACCAGAGGGCAAGGGCCAGCGACCCAGGCCTGGCTGAGTGCTCTGATGGATGGCTCCCTCTCAGCTCCCCCTTCTCTGGAGCCACAACTGTTCCTTCCTTTGTCCCTCTAATTCCTGAGCTCCCTGACTCAGCCTGGTTCCCCTGTTTCCCAGCAGTGGACAAAGCCCTTGTCAGTGGGTGGGGGTGGGGCCAATGAGGGAGTAACTGTGAGTTTCGGAACCAGAGCTCCAGTCCTTTCCTCATTTCAACCTTCAGGGTCCCTCAGTCTCCCTAGTTCAGAGGTCACCTCTAGGTGCCTCCCCATCTTGCCTTGATCTCCAAGGCCTGGCTGACGGGGGTGGGAACTAACCAGGACCTTCTTCCCAGCTGGACAAAGTCTGACACCTGGTGGCCAGGGTGTGGAATGGCTGGAAGGGGGGCCCTTTTCCAGTCTCCCCACAACTTCTCCAGAGCCAGGATGGCCCAGGTGAAAGGGGAGGTGATGAGAAGAGGTTTGGTCGGAGGGGACGGGGGGGTTGGGACAAGACAGAAGAGACGTCCAGGGCAGAAAAACCCAGACCTGGGGGAACACTGCCTTCTACCTGCTCCAACTCCCTAAGCCCGCCGAGACAGAGAACCTCAGGCAGGGAGCAGGGGGTGGTCTGGAAGGGTCCTGAGGGACTCAGAGAAGCTTCCTTAAAGAATTTTGGCCCACAGAGTAGGGAACGGGCCTAGGGTATGTGAGTAGGTGGCTGCTGGGGACAGCGCTCACCTGTCCCCACCTTCCTACCTTTGGCTGACTTTCCCCACAAACCCTTTCATGACTGGGGGAGAGAGGGGGCTCCTAGGGCCCCTGTGCAGTGCTGAGGCCCCCCGTCCTGCACCTTGTCTGAACTACCCAGGTCTAATCCCCCTTCCCCTTGGAGTAGTCGGCAGTGGGCCTCAGCCCTCAGGAAGGTACTGGGCTCCTGTTGCAGCCCTTCTCTCTTTTTTCTCCTGGGATCCCCCAATACTTTGGCCTTGGCTGTGAAGCAAGATCCTTGAGTGTTCCTAGGCCAAGGTGTAAAGGTCACTCCTGCTAGTCCCATCATCGGCCTCTGGAGGTCAGGGCTGACACAGGAACCTATGCCGGATCTCAGGAAATTCCCAAAGGAGAGAGAATTTAGCTCCCAATTCAGACCTCTGGCCTGGCCCTCCAGCCTGAAGCCTGAACTGTGACAGGCCCGAGGGACAGCAGTTTTGGGGATAGGCCAGGAGGCTGCCTGAGTAGGAACAGGGGTTCCAGGAAGTAAGGCGATAGGGGTGGATAGCTTTGGGGGGTAAAGACAGAAAAGACGAGGATGGGGAGGTTAAGGTCTGGTCTGGCTGCCAGCATACCTTAGGGATCCAGGTGACAAGTCAGGGAAGGATGCCTGTTGGGCAGTGATGGTTCCAACCAACTCCTTTGAGCTTTGGGTCTTGATCTTGGACCAGGAGAGAAGGGTGATGTGCCTGTGGAGGGTCCCTCAACTCCAGGCCAGAAGGCCAGCCCTAGGGTACCTGCACTTGAGCTAACTACCTGATTCTCCTTTTTGGGGCTGGGGGAGGCTGAAGGCCAAGGGAGACCTTTTTCAGGCTGGGTGGGAGAGGCTGGCAGGGCCTGGCCAGGCTGGGTGGGGGGCAGCTGGCAGGGATGGCACAGACAGCACCCACAGAGCAGGTCAGGGTGCCAGAGGGGAGAGGGAATCGGCTCAGGCAGCAGTAGGAGCTGCGGTGGCCACCCAGTGGCACACCCCATTTCACGCTCCCTGGGCAGTGGCAAGGCCCCACGGCTATCAGCTTTCAGGGGTGGGGCAGACCAGGAATGAGGAGGGGTCTGCCCCACCCCTGGCTGCCTGCTCCCTCGGGGTTCTGTGGGTTCAGGAGTTGGGTGCCACACACTTCTGGGAACCCCCTCTGGGGACAGGGTGGTCATTTCCACAGAGCCCGGCCACAGTCCCTCTACACAGTGCCCAGTGCCTGACTAGAGCCCACGTCTAAGCTCTTCCCAGGCCTGGAGAGGGTCCTCCTGCTTCTCTGCAGTGCAGCAGAGCCCCTGCCTCCCTCAGTGTGGGCCCCTCTTAGGCCACGAGGCGGATGGGGTGTTCGAGCAGTACCAGCCCAGGCGCTAAAGCAGAGGGAAGGGCCCTCCAGCTCTGTGCAGGGTGCCCGTGACCCTCACTCCTCCACTCAGCCCCCCTCAAGAAGCATATGGAGAGAGCCAGGAGGGGACCCTGAAGACGGGGCCTGCTCCCGCACCTGCTCCTCCCCTTTGGTGGGTCCACCCCCCAGGGGATTTTCCTCCCTCGTGCCCACCCTTCTCCTAATGCAGGGCACCCAGGCTCCAGAGCAGTGGGAGGGAGGCAGCCATTAGCCTCTGAGGAGGCACTTACTGCCCTGGAAGGAAGAACTGGATGGGATCTGGTGGGTGATTAGAGCTGGGCGGGTCCCTGCGCTGATTCCCAGACTCCCACTGACCAACTCTTCGCCTGCAGCCAAGAAGTTGGTGAGGGGGGAGGTGGGTGTAGGGGTGAGTCAGCCATGACAGGAGCCCAAGGGACAAAGGTCATGGGTGGAGAATTGAAAGACACTGTTTACAGCAGCCTGCCTCTTGCAGGAGGTCTTCTGAAAGCGCCAAGCCAGCCCTATGGTCCAACCCATCTCGGACCCACCCTTTCCCCCTCCTGTTAGGAATTTTATCCTTGTACTGACAACCTGTGTGTCCGGTCTGCCTGCCCCCTTAACCTATGAGCTTCTGAGAGACACACAGGGGCTGTGGTTTAACTGGGCCCCACAATGCCTGTGATTATTGGCACTTCCTACTTTTAGGAATCATTTTACATCTATTTTAGTTGAGTGAACATGTGGGAAAGTGCACACACAGAACAGCACTTGGCACAGTATGAGTGCCATATAAGAGTTAGGTTTATTGTTGGGGTTTTCTGCTCACACTCTCACATTAGTGCGAGACAGGGCAGATTTCACTAATGCAGAAGTGGGGATCCAAACGCACTCTGGCCCCCTGCTCAGGGCAGAAGCCTCCTGACTGGCAGGGCGGGCAGGGCTAGGCTGCGGGAGCCCGGGGGAGCCGACAGGGCAGACGCTTGCCTGGACTGGGAGTGGGCAGTGTCTGCGCGCCGGCTGTGGGAAAGGGGCTTTGCGACCCCACGGGCTTCTAGCCCTGTCTCCTGGGGCCGGTGGGGGTGGGGTGGGAGCAGGGAAGGGCGCTGGATTGCCAGGCTCTCTTCGGACCTCCAGACCTGCCCCCCCACACTCTGAGGGCCAAGGGGCAGGAGTGGAAGGCTCCAGCTAGGCTCTGGGGACTTACAAACCGGCCACGGGGATTAGCGAGGCTGAAAGAACATTTGCCTAGGAAGAGAAAACGGGAAGTGAGAGGCTGAGGATAACGCTCTGTAAGTCCCCTGGGCCGCCCTGTAGATCCACGGCGGGGGGCGGGGGGCGCAGGAGGAGGGGCTGCAGTCTGGGGCGTCCTGACAGGTCCCCCCACCCCGGCCTCACCCCTTCAGCCCCGGGACACAGCTGCAGCAGCTGCCCCGCCCCCTGCCGGTGCGCCTGCCATTGGCTGGAGTCGGGCCCGCTGCACAGAGGCGGCCTACCATTGGCTCAGGCCTTTGCTGTTTGCGTGCTTGTGGGGGTGGGGGACAGTCGTCATTCCCTGGAACCCGCGGACTTCCTCTCTCCCTGTCTGGGTCATTCTGTCTGCCGGTCGCTGGCCCCAGGCTCGCTCTCTGGCCCGAGACCTCTCTCTCTCTCAGGTGCAGGTATGCAGAGGTCAACTGAAGAACCTCGAATAGTTGGGGCCCTGCAGTGTCATGGGGGGAGTATGACCTCTCTCTAGAAGTTCTGTTCCAGGAAGGCTAGGGGGAAGGAGGGAGAGAAGGCCCTCCTCTTTGCCATCTCTAGATAGCACGGGTGGGGGGGACTTGAAATCTCAGTGTCATCTTGGGTGCCTGGAAATGCACCTGTATTTGACAGGATACCCACAACATGAAGAACTGTCACCTGGCGGAAGCAACCTCTGGGGGCCGGGGGTGGATAGGAGAGGGTACAGAAGAGGGTTTGACAGGCGGGTGGCAAAAGTGTGGTCATGCCTTGCTGCTTCCCGCCTTTGCAAAGACTGACCCAAGGGACTTAGGGCTCCCTCGGTGTGTGAGGAGACTCATTCAAACACTCATCATAGAGACATAGTGTGTGCGCACCCCCACCCTCCCAACTCATCACAGCCACTCCAAATGGGGAAGGGCCAAGAAGGCCCTTGTTCCCCTCAACCAGAGGGCAAGGGCCAGCGACCCAGGCCTGGCTGAGTGCTCTGATGGATGGCTCCCTCTCAGCTCCCCCTTCTCTGGAGCCACAACTGTTCCTTCCTTTGTCCCTCTAATTCCTGAGCTCCCTGACTCAGCCTGGTTCCCCTGTTTCCCAGCAGTGGACAAAGCCCTTGTCAGTGGGTGGGGGTGGGGCCAATGAGGGAGTAACTGTGAGTTTCGGAACCAGAGCTCCAGTCCTTTCCTCATTTCAACCTTCAGGGTCCCTCAGTCTCCCTAGTTCAGAGGTCACCTCTAGGTGCCTCCCCATCTTGCCTTGATCTCCAAGGCCTGGCTGACGGGGGTGGGAACTAACCAGGACCTTCTTCCCAGCTGGACAAAGTCTGACACCTGGTGGCCAGGGTGTGGAATGGCTGGAAGGGGGGCCCTTTTCCAGTCTCCCCACAACTTCTCCAGAGCCAGGATGGCCCAGGTGAAAGGGGAGGTGATGAGAAGAGGTTTGGTCGGAGGGGACGGGGGGGTTGGGACAAGACAGAAGAGACGTCCAGGGCAGAAAAACCCAGACCTGGGGGAACACTGCCTTCTACCTGCTCCAACTCCCTAAGCCCGCCGAGACAGAGAACCTCAGGCAGGGAGCAGGGGGTGGTCTGGAAGGGTCCTGAGGGACTCAGAGAAGCTTCCTTAAAGAATTTTGGCCCACAGAGTAGGGAACGGGCCTAGGGTATGTGAGTAGGTGGCTGCTGGGGACAGCGCTCACCTGTCCCCACCTTCCTACCTTTGGCTGACTTTCCCCACAAACCCTTTCATGACTGGGGGAGAGAGGGGGCTCCTAGGGCCCCTGTGCAGTGCTGAGGCCCCCCGTCCTGCACCTTGTCTGAACTACCCAGGTCTAATCCCCCTTCCCCTTGGAGTAGTCGGCAGTGGGCCTCAGCCCTCAGGAAGGTACTGGGCTCCTGTTGCAGCCCTTCTCTCTTTTTTCTCCTGGGATCCCCCAATACTTTGGCCTTGGCTGTGAAGCAAGATCCTTGAGTGTTCCTAGGCCAAGGTGTAAAGGTCACTCCTGCTAGTCCCATCATCGGCCTCTGGAGGTCAGGGCTGACACAGGAACCTATGCCGGATCTCAGGAAATTCCCAAAGGAGAGAGAATTTAGCTCCCAATTCAGACCTCTGGCCTGGCCCTCCAGCCTGAAGCCTGAACTGTGACAGGCCCGAGGGACAGCAGTTTTGGGGATAGGCCAGGAGGCTGCCTGAGTAGGAACAGGGGTTCCAGGAAGTAAGGCGATAGGGGTGGATAGCTTTGGGGGGTAAAGACAGAAAAGACGAGGATGGGGAGGTTAAGGTCTGGTCTGGCTGCCAGCATACCTTAGGGATCCAGGTGACAAGTCAGGGAAGGATGCCTGTTGGGCAGTGATGGTTCCAACCAACTCCTTTGAGCTTTGGGTCTTGATCTTGGACCAGGAGAGAAGGGTGATGTGCCTGTGGAGGGTCCCTCAACTCCAGGCCAGAAGGCCAGCCCTAGGGTACCTGCACTTGAGCTAACTACCTGATTCTCCTTTTTGGGGCTGGGGGAGGCTGAAGGCCAAGGGAGACCTTTTTCAGGCTGGGTGGGAGAGGCTGGCAGGGCCTGGCCAGGCTGGGTGGGGGGCAGCTGGCAGGGATGGCACAGACAGCACCCACAGAGCAGGTCAGGGTGCCAGAGGGGAGAGGGAATCGGCTCAGGCAGCAGTAGGAGCTGCGGTGGCCACCCAGTGGCACACCCCATTTCACGCTCCCTGGGCAGTGGCAAGGCCCCACGGCTATCAGCTTTCAGGGGTGGGGCAGACCAGGAATGAGGAGGGGTCTGCCCCACCCCTGGCTGCCTGCTCCCTCGGGGTTCTGTGGGTTCAGGAGTTGGGTGCCACACACTTCTGGGAACCCCCTCTGGGGACAGGGTGGTCATTTCCACAGAGCCCGGCCACAGTCCCTCTACACAGTGCCCAGTGCCTGACTAGAGCCCACGTCTAAGCTCTTCCCAGGCCTGGAGAGGGTCCTCCTGCTTCTCTGCAGTGCAGCAGAGCCCCTGCCTCCCTCAGTGTGGGCCCCTCTTAGGCCACGAGGCGGATGGGGTGTTCGAGCAGTACCAGCCCAGGCGCTAAAGCAGAGGGAAGGGCCCTCCAGCTCTGTGCAGGGTGCCCGTGACCCTCGCTCCTCCACTCAGCCCCCCTCAAGAAGCATATGGAGAGAGCCAGGAGGGGACCCTGAAGACGGGGCCTGCTCCCGCACCTGCTCCTCCCCTTTGGTGGGTCCACCCCCCAGGGGATTTTCCTCCCTCGTGCCCACCCTTCTCCTAATGCAGGGCACCCAGGCTCCAGAGCAGTGGGAGGGAGGCAGCCATTAGCCTCTGAGGAGGCACTTACTGCCCTGGAAGGAAGAACTGGATGGGATCTGGTGGGTGATTAGAGCTGGGCGGGTCCCTGCGCTGATTCCCAGACTCCCACTGACCAACTCTTCGCCTGCAGCCAAGAAGTTGGTGAGGGGGGAGGTGGGTGTAGGGGTGAGTCAGCCATGACAGGAGCCCAAGGGACAAAGGTCATGGGTGGAGAATTGAAAGACACTGTTTACAGCAGCCTGCCTCTTGCAGGAGGTCTTCTGAAAGCGCCAAGCCAGCCCTATGGTCCAACCCATCTCGGACCCACCCTTTCCCTCTCCTGTTAGGAATTTTATCCTTGTACTGACAACCTGTGTGTCCGGTCTGCCTGCCCCCTTAACCTATGAGCTTCTGAGAGACACACAGGGGCTGTGGTTTAACTGGGCCCCACAATGCCTGTGATTATTGGCACTTCCTACTTTTAGGAATCATTTTACATCTATTTTAGTTGAGTGAACATGTGGGAAAGTGCACACACAGAACAGCACTTGGCACAGTATGAGTGCCATATAAGAGTTAGGTTTATTGTTGGGGTTTTCTGCTCACACTCTCACATTAGTGCGAGACAGGGCAGATTTCACTAATGCAGAAGTGGGGATCCAAACGCACTCTGGCCCCCTGCTCAGGGCAGAAGCCTCCTGACTGGCAGGGCGGGCAGGGCTAGGCTGCGGGAGCCCGGGGGAGCCGACAGGGCAGACGCTTGCCTGGACTGGGAGTGGGCAGTGTCTGCGCGCCGGCTGTGGGAAAGGGGCTTTGCGACCCCACGGGCTTCTAGCCCTGTCTCCTGGGGCCGGTGGGGGTGGGGTGGGAGCAGGGAAGGGCGCTGGATTGCCAGGCTCTCTTCGGACCTCCAGACCTGCCCCCCCACACTCTGAGGGCCAAGGGGCAGGAGTGGAAGGCTCCAGCTAGGCTCTGGGGACTTACAAACCGGCCACGGGGATTAGCGAGGCTGAAAGAACATTTGCCTAGGAAGAGAAAACGGGAAGTGAGAGGCTGAGGATAACGCTCTGTAAGTCCCCTGGGCCGCCCTGTAGATCCACGGCGGGGGGCGGGGGGCGCAGGAGGAGGGGCTGCAGTCTGGGGCGTCCTGACAGGTCCCCCCACCCCGGCCTCACCCCTTCAGCCCCGGGACACAGCTGCAGCAGCTGCCCCGCCCCCTGCCGGTGCGCCTGCCATTGGCTGGAGTCGGGCCCGCTGCACAGAGGCGGCCTACCATTGGCTCAGGCCTTTGCTGTTTGCGTGCTTGTGGGGGTGGGGGACAGTCGTCATTCCCTGGAACCCGCGGACTTCCTCTCTCCCTGTCTGGGTCATTCTGTCTGCCGGTCGCTGGCCCCAGGCTCGCTCTCTGGCCCGAGACCTCTCTCTCTCTCAGCAGCTGTCCCTCTCGTGCCCGCTGGCCTCTCTCTCTCTCCTTCCCCGCAGTCGCCTCCTTCTCCGCCTGCCTGGGTGGCCATCATGGGCAGGAAGCGGCTCATCACTGACTCCTACCCTGTAGTGAAGAGGAGGGAGGGCCCCGCTGGGCACAGCAAGGGGGAGCTGGCACCAGAGCTAGGTCTCTGAGGTGTGGGTGGGGGGGCGGGAGGAGTGGTCGCCAGGGGACAGAGGACGTGGGCAGTGGAAAGGGAAGTATGTCCTCTACTTCCTACACCGGGCTTGGCCGCGGACGGTAGAGGCGAAGGGGTGGGGAGGGTTGGGGGGCAGTGGGACAGCTGTGAGAGGAAGGGCAGGGGACCAGTCCTGCAGGACCAGCGTGTCGTTGCAGGGGAAGAAACCCAGCCCCTGAGCGTGAGCGTGGATGAAGCGGCGCTGGAGCTGCTGAGGCAGTTTGACCTGGCCTGGCAGTATGGGCCCTGCACAGGTGAGAACGCCGCAGCACACCCCGGAGCCTGCCCTGTCACCCACGTCTCCTGCGCAATCTGAACCTGTGCCTGACCCTCTCAGGCACTGTCGCAGTGTCAAGATCCCAACACAACCTTTCACACACATCTCTAGCCTGGCCTTCTCGCTCTCTACGAGGCCCCAGCATCTTCTTCCCACCATGGCAGGGATCACACGGCTGCAGCGCTGGCATCGGGCAGAGCAGTTGGGCTTGGAGCCTCCCCCCGAAGTGCGTGAGGTGCTGCAGACTCACCCTGGAGATCCCCGCTTCCAGTGCAGGTCAGAGAAAGGCCACGGAGGGCTTTCACGGGAGCCAGGGCCTTCTCTAGGCACCACCAGCCTGCTGGCCTCTGGTAGGGGCTGCCCTGATCTGAGAAAGAAACGGTTGAAGATTTGGGGGTCCTTGCTGAGCAGGCAAGAAGGTTCTACAAGGTGCCTGGCTCAAGAGGGCAGAAGGTTGCTTTCACAATTCTTATCTTTAAGTTAATGGTGGGGAAGGGTGGACCCAAAACGCAAGGACTCTCTGTTCAGTACTGAGGGGTTGGCCAAAGTTTATAAGCCGTGGCGAAGAACTGGGCCGGTGAAATCAGATCAAATTAACTGGCCCTCTCTGGTTCCTCCTTCCTACCTGTCCTTGTACACACAGCCTCTGGCATTTCTATCCTCTTTGAGGCTCCACTGAAGACCTCCTGCTGGCTACCCAAGAACCTTAGCACACAAGAACCAGTTGCCGCTGTTCAGCTCACCTTTGCCTTGGAGAACCTTTGGCAGGAAGGAGTCTCACAGGGAAGGAAAGGCTGGATCCGACCTCTCCGCAGCACAGCCCCCCATCTAACCAGCAGGCTGCTGGAGCCCCCTCTGAGAGCTGACACAGCTCAAGTCCAGTATGTCCTACATTCAGAGTGACAAGGACCTGGCCATGACCCTTCCGATGCCTCCCAGACCAAACCACTTCAGTCCTGGGGACGAAGTGGCAAACTAGGCACAGCCTTAGGCAAAGCCAGACTCAGGCAAATGATCTCAGAAGCAAAGATGCACTCCCCACCTAAGGCTGGGCATCTGAGGGCAGAACTGGCTAAGCTCACGGGGCAAGGGGTTCACTAATGCTCATCAATAAAGAACACTGAGCCTGGAAGCCTGAACTCCAGCCCCTTAATGTGGCCCTGCTTGGGCTGGCAGCACCCATCAAGTTTATAGGTGGGAGAGAGCCAGCACCTTGCTTTCCTGCAAGCTGCACGCGGCTCTTCTGCTGCCTAAGCCTAGACCTGGGAGGGAGGAAAGACCTCAAGAGACCCTGGCACAAGTCCTCACAAAAGCTGAGCAACCTTTGATGCCCCCTGGTGGTGCAGAGGGAAACTACTCTTTAGTCACCTTAACTGACCAGCCAGGGAAAACATGCCAGACTGCCACCCAGCCTGCCCAGTGTTGTCCACTTCACAAAAATGGCTCCTCTCTCAGAGGAGGATCCAGGGCCCCACAGCTCATAAGGTTCAGGCAGACCTACACATTCCCAGCAAGCACCTCTGCTTCCCGCATGGAGTCCACCTGGACCCAAAGCAGGGTTGGGGGATCATTCCACTCACAGCACCTGCTCAGAGATGGTGGGGAACTGGACAGTGCTGGGGTGGAGGAGAACCAGCCGAGCCAAAAACACTGCTTAGGGGACCCTGGGACGGTGAGCCACAGAGAGGGAATTAGTACTCCTTATGTGGTGTTGCCTTCAGTTGATGTATCAGCCTTCCATCCTGGGGCACAGAGAAACATCACTATTGACTCCTTGGAAAAAGGCCTAGAGAGCTGTTGAGCACTGACCATGCCTCAAATACATGAAATGTATTATCTCTAAACTTCCCAAAAAACCCATTAAGGTAGATGATACAGGGAAGGAACTGAAGACTTCAAAGGTTGTGCAAAGTTGCCCAGAAGCACCAGCAGGTACTTGGTGGCACAGAGACCAGGGGCCATGAGCATCAGGTTCTTCCCACCTCTACCATGACCCTGGCTGTCTGCTGAGCACCTGCTATGTGCCAGGCTCTAGAGGTCCTCTTGGGTGTTCTTACTGGTGAGGAGATGGAGGGAGACAAACTTGTAAATATGTCAAGTGGTGGTCAGTGTAGAATTGGGGTTAGAAGTCAGAGAATGCCAGGGGTGCTAGAGGAGCTGGTCAGAGAATGCTCTGCGACAGGTTGGCATTTGAGCAGAGACCTGCAAGAAGGATGGGAGTGGGGCTTGCACCTACAAGAGTGCTCCAGACGGAAGGAAGCAAGCACACACTCCCCCACGCAGGAGTGTTCCCAGCCCAGTCAGGGAACACGGAGGCCAGCGTGGCCAGGGCAGAGGGAGTGAGAGAAGCATGGTGGGAGATGAAGCCAGCGAGGTAGCAGGTTGGTCCCATAGGGCCTTGCAGGCCAGGATAAGGAGTGTGGAGTTTATTCTGAGTGACAGAGGAAGACACTGGTGGGTTCTAAATCAATAAATGACATAATCAAACTTCGTTTTGAAAACATTACTGGCTATTGATGGCGAATGGGTTATGGGGCTGAGGAGAGAAGAGGCAGGCAAACCGCTCAGGAGGCTCTGGGGGTCGGGCTTACGACACCGATGGTGATTTGGACCAGGGTGGGGAGATGAGGGTGGGGAGAAGCAGCCAGATTCTTTCTATATTTTGATGGGAGAGCTGACCAACAGGACGTGGTGATTGAGGTTTGAGAGAGAGAGAGAAGCCAAGGGTAACTCCAAAGATTTTGGCTTGAGCGACTGGAAGGACAGTTTCCATTGCTAAGATGGGGAAGACTGGGAAGGGTAGGATAGGGTGGGAATGAACGGTCTGGGTTTGAAGTCTGTGACACCCAAGGGGAGACGGGGAGTAGGTAGTGGATATGCAAGTCTGGAACTCTTGGGACAGCTCGGGGTTTGAGATGTAAAGTTGGACATCTTTTAGATGGCACTGAAAGCTGTGAGGATAAGAGTACCTGAGTGCGTGCAGAGACAAGAAGTGGTCCAAGGATACCCCTGGGGCTTCCGCGCTTAGAGGCAAGGGAGAAGACGGCAGGCAGCAAAGGAGACTAAGGAGAGGCATGACTGGAGGAAAATCAGAATGGGTAGGATTTGGAGGCCTGGGCAGAAGGTGTTTCAAGGTCTCAGACGCTTCTGGGAGGCCAGTAAAGTGAAGCCTGAGAACAGCGCACTGGGCTTGGCAAGGTGGAGGTCCCTGGAGGCGGGTGGTTCCGTGGAGCGGGGCGGAGGAGCCCCCGGAGTGGGCTCAGAGGGAGGGTAGGGCACGTGCGCATGGGGCAGCCTGTCCTTTCAGGGACTTTGTACTATGAAGGGAACACAGAGAGAGAGCAGTAACCAGAAGGGATGTGGGATCCAGAGAGGGTTTTCCTTTGCTGTCTTGTCTCGGGTTTTGTTTCAGGTACAGTAATGATGCAGCATGATCACACAGTGGGGAGGGACACTGGTGTTGCGTGTGAGTGAGGTCTTTGTGAAGGTAAGAAGGGCCAGCACTAGTACACAGCAAAAGGGTGGCCTCAGATGGAAGCATCCACTGCGACAGGAGGGGAAGCACGGGGTTGTGGGAGTAGGTGCAGGTAGGGGGCTGCAGCGTGAGTGGCAACGGTGGAGGATCAGCTGTTTGCTGAGAGCCTGGCATGGCTGGGAGGAATCTGATGTTTACGAAGTGCCCTTGGGCCCTCTGTGGTGCTGAACTCAGCACCTCCATTGTCATCTAGTTGATTTCTCAGGAAGTCTCACTAGGTAAGTGTTATCCCCCATTCACAGGTAAGGAAACTGAGCCTGCGAGGAAAGGCAACTCGCTTGGTCAGTGAACACCGAGGCCCACCTCACACCTAGGCCTTCCCACTGTGGCACCCTGTACCTGTGCCCCCTGCTTCTCTGCCGCAAACCTGCATGCTAGATGCTGAGGATGGTGTTGAAGAGATTAAGACCTACCCATGTGGAAAGTTAAAAAGAACACTGTAATACAAGGGGCACCTCAGGGCAGTGGAGTTGTGTAGACACAGTTCTCAGGAAGGAGGGAGCAGCACCATGTGTTAAAGGGCCCCTCACCGCAGGGGCCCTGAGCGCAGGGAGGCCACCCCCATTGCACTGGTCCCCTGCACCAGCTCCTTCTCCATCCGGGTCCGTGCTCTGCACGCCCTTCCACTGCATTCCGAATGCAGACTCCTCACTGTGGCTGGGGGCTGGCCCAAGATACCTCCATTCTGAATATTCTTAGTAGTTGTATATTTTATCTTAAAAACCTTTGGCTAATTTAGCATTCTGCTCCATGATATGTCTGGAGTAGTTTTATGTCTGCAGCATAAAAATGGATAAAGTTACCAAGCAGAACGAATGCTGCAGGAAGATGCACCACGTGTGGCCTCTCAACTCCAACAGGCCCCCGACCCCTACCCTGCCCAAGCTGGGCAGCACGGCAGAAAGCGCCACACATGCTTAGCAGAAGGAAATGGGAGTCAGTGGCCCTTGAGGGATGAATAAGGGCCCAGGCAGAGAAAAAAAGTATCGTAGGCTCGTTCAGGGACTGAGCTCAGCAAAGGCGACAGGGAGAGGCAGACACAAGTGTGCAGACCGCCATAGTTGCTGCATGAAAACCGGCGTGATAAAAAGCTAGCATTTCAATGCTTACTACATAACCAGCACTGTTTTAAGTGCCCGTTATCCTCACTGCAACCCTAGAAATAATTATAAACTTTTTATAAAGTGACTCTGAAATGGAAATTCTGACACAGCAAGGCTAAGAACTTGCCCAGGGTCACACAGCATGTCAGTATCTGGAACAGGATTGATGTCTGCACTCATATCATGCAGGGTAATGCTAGTGAGGTGGACTGGGACCAAAAACAGATTCTTTGGCCTGAGACAAAGGAGCCTGGACTTATCTATGGTGGTGACAGCACATGAAGGTCTTTCAGCAGGAGAGAGACGGGATAAAAATAATCATTCTGGACCATCATTTGACCAGGTCTGGAAGAAACACTAGACAGGGAAGTAGCTGCAGGCAAGACCGCCAAGTGGGATGATATTAAATATTTAAGACATGGTGCTGAGACCCTGGATTAGAGAACAGAACACAAAGGACAAAGAGCTACAAGAGATATTGCAAAGGAAGTTGAAAAGACTTGTGTTTGGGAAGAGAAGAATGGGGAGGAGGCATCAAATTTGACTCAGGTTTTGAGCTTGGGTAGGTGACAATGCTAATGCTATGAGCAGGAAAATGGAGACTGGTAGGAGAGACAGGCTTGATTTCACGCATGTTTAGTTTGAGATGATGATAGGACACCCAAATGGCATAGATGTTTCTAGTGAGCAGTGGTAACCTGGAAGTCAAGTCCAGCAGAAGGTCGGGGGAGAGTATGGTGTCCAGAACAATCTGCACAGGACAGACACTTGAGCCCATGAGCATGGATGATTCTCTGAGAGAGACAGGCCTGGCCACAAAGGCAGGATCAAGGATGGCACTGGAGGAAATGCTCTCTAGAAGAAGGTGGATGACCAGGAAACAAGATGGGAGCACGTCGGAGTGGCAGGAGAGTCCAGGTAGAGCAGGGTTCAGTAGGGTCCCGAGATGTCACAGGAGGGAGGGCCTGGCGTGACGCTCAAGATGTCAAGGAAGCTATCTAGGAGGATCTGGAAAGGCGACAGGCTGACTCACCCCAATTCCATCTCCCTATTTCCTGTTTCCCTCTGTCCCCGTTTTTCAGCTTTCTGGCATCCCCAGCTGTCAGTAACTCCCGGTGCCACACCCACTGATGAGGGCCACGCTGACTCACTCTTTATTGACTCAGATGTGGCAACATTTATCCACCTTCAAACTCAGACACTCACTAGTAGCATGAAGGTTTGAGGAGATAATTTACCAAGAAACTCAAACAAGGGAAAGTAACAGGTTTCTGAATTACTCTTGAAGTAGATTGAAGCTACAGCAGTGCCAGCTTTAGGCGGATTTGGGTTAACACCACCTCTAGGACTTAGGGGATGCTCAACATAATTGCTAGTTTTCTCTGCAGCTAGGTTTCTAGTTTATCCACATGAGCCCTTACCTAGGAAACAATAACTCTGTGCTAGTCATGGAAGATGCAAATGATCAGAACCCCAGATCTAGAGCTCTAAGAGCTTACTGCGGTAGGGAAGAGAGGCAGTGAAGAGGTGCAAGTGAATTCCAAACACTGTCACAAGACCGGTGTGAACGTGACACTGAGAACTCAGACTTCCTGTAGTTGGGTATTTAAGGATGAGAAGGGGTTTCCACAAAGTGGACAAGGTTCCAGATCCTTCTTGAGCCCTGCTTTGTCTCTGGAAGGAAAAGGCCTTTCTTAGAAATCTCTTCTGGGGTCAATGCCTGCATCCCCTAACCAAGAGGTTCTGATGGCTCCTAGTCCTGCAAGGACTTGCATATTGTTTTTCTGTGCAGCCTTCCCTAAAAAGAGCTAAGGATTTCTCCTCTGCCCCTGTGTTAACCTGTTTATAGTGTATTGCAGCAGGTCACACTGCTACAGTCATAGAGTTCATTGCCTCCGCTGCTAGGATGTTTTATCCCTGGCATGTGTACCTAGCACAGGGTCAGCTACCCTAGTAAGCACTCAGAGCTGACAGAACCTTCCCACTACATTCACACCTGCTGTTTAGTCTGCTGGTCCTTCTAGCCTGTGAGATCATCTATGTCCAGTTGTGAAGGCCAGTCTAAACTCCAGTGAAATCTGGTCTATAAGTCACTTTTCCTGAGGGTTATGTGGCCTTGATGACAGGAGCCATCTTTGCCTAGAGCCTTCTCAGCAAGGAAGGCATCAAAGCAGCCAACTTCAGAAGTGGATTCCTTTACATATTCTGCTTTGAAGCCTGTGCCTGCACTGGGCCAGCCTGCCAAATGC